TTGTATTCAGAGTTTGCTTTGGAGGTCAGCTTTACTTGGCGGACAGTTTGGTTTTCTTAGACACACAATTCTGAATTTGAGCACTTCCCTCTGCCTTAAGCCAAGGGTTGGTATAAATATAAATTATGCTGGCTGCGTGAATTTACAAGATAGTGATAACCCCAGCCGACCTTTCCCTTAAGCCTGGCTCTTAGTTGTAATGAGTAAGCCCCTGAATTTTGGGAGGTTTAGATATTTGTTTGCTGAAAGTCACTGTATGGACAATTTTCTTCTGCCCACACTTCTCCCAGTCCTATATTTCCCACCATTTAACTTTTCTCACCCTGAGCCAGGGTGAGAAGCTGGTCATTTCCATCTGCTCTGTCAAAGGGAGGGCTCATGACCAGGGTGGGGGCAAGGCTGTTTTGGGAGTCACACTTGGGGGCACATGCACACACAAGCACACACACATACATTCCTATGAGACCCTGCTTTCCTTGCTGCTGAGAAGAGGGGAGGGTGGGGACAGACCTTGCTTCCTCCTCACCCTAAAGCTAGCTTCCCCCCACAATCCCGTTGACATTCTCCTCTGGACTCGTTTGTTCTGATCCCCGTTTTAAAGAGGCACCAATCCACCGGGAGTGCGAAAGACAGAGAGAGAGAGAGAGAGAACCGGAGAGAGAGAGAGAGAACATACTTGAGCAGGCCGCATGCAGGTACACACGGAGGTGGATGAGAAATGTTGGAGACTCGTCTTTTTGGCTGCCCAGCTTAGGCCTTTCCTACCACTGATTTTTGCTCTACGGCAAGCCCCTGGGCTCCAGAACTATAGAGGTCTGCAAAGGAACATACCTCTGGGAGTCCCGTATGCCCTGTGGGTCTCTCACGCTCCATGATCCTGCCTCCAGTTACCAAGTGGAGTTCTGTTGACCCACAGAATTGCCTGCATTGAGCTGATTCCTAGTTGATCTCCAGAGCAGAAGAGTGTTGCTGTTGAAATCCTTCCTGGCTGAAAATCTCACAGGCCTAAGTGTCCAAGAACCAGAGAACTTGGCCTAGTATTTCTCAGCCTGCTGTTGTCCACTTGATGCTGATCTCTGTTTCTGCATTAGAAATACCTGTATCTCCTGTCAACAAGGCTTCCACAAGAGCATCTGTAAAGACTTCATGCATTCTAAACTGCTGCCTGAGAAAGCCAAATCTCTATCTATGAAATGGTTGCTTTGTTTTTCTGGTCCATTCTGCAGTGCGGAGAAGACTTAGAGAACTTCCTTTGCTACTTTGGGAGCTTGAGCCAGCTTTTGGGGGCCATAACATTTGTAGGACTTTTCCATCATGATCAGTCCCACATGAAGGAGAGTCCCATTCAGTGATCTTCAGCTCCTGGGAACCTGATTTCTCCAACAGTTACTCTGCTGATTATGGGACTAGACTCAGGCGGCTTTCTGAAGGAGGGAATGGCCATCTCTGTCCTGGTGTGCAGAATGGCCAGTTTTTATGGACTTTGTTGCCCAATTGCAGGGTTTTCTTTCACAGTCCTGGTTTTCTCTGCCACATGCTGAGAATTTCCACCTCCACAGAGTTCTCTGGAACCACAAAATGAAGGACTTAATTTGCCTAGGGTCCTCCAAATATGGAAATCTGCTAGTTATTGGCTTCCGTTGCTGCCTTACCTGGACTCCCCGTTTTCAGTTATCCTGCTTCCACCTGTTGTTTGGACTCGCCCCATTTGTGAATTCAGTCCTCCACTGTGTTTGCTGGCATTTTCCATTGGTTGTATCCCCCCCACCATTTATTGGACTTCTGCCATGTGACGGTGCTTCACTCTCCATTGGTCCCAGTCTCTACCTGCCAAGAACTGCTGCCTTGAGCCTCCCCCTCCGCCTTGCCAGTTGCGGGAGGTGCTTCTGTCTCGCCCTCTCTCTTCCGGGACACTTGACTCCGACCACCAGCCAAGCACTAGGTTCCTACCTACCACCAACCAGCCAGCCACCACCTCCTCTCTTGTCACCCAACCCAACCAAGCACGCACCTTTCAGGCCAGGGAGGGCTCATTCCGATTGGACCAGCCGTTGCCTAGATACAGCGCACACACTGAGGTGCGATTGGCTGAACAGAAGACCCTGCCCCAGGTGTGAGAGGGTACCTGGAGCGCTTGTCCTAAGTTGTTATCTATATCTATTTTTCTGTTGCTTTTAATATAATTTTTAAAGGAAAAAAATCAGTTGCAATGTCTCCTGGGGGTGGGTGGTTCTTGTTATAGCTTAAACAAAGGGGTTTCCTCCTGCATTTTCATTTAACAATGAGGGGCATGGAATCTGTTGGGGGGGTTACCTAGTTTATGTACAAACCTAGTTCAATCCAGCCCCCCAGCCTTGCTCAGACTGAGGGATACATTTATATAGGGGTTTGGGAGTCTACCCCATCTGCCCTCTCATTTCCAGAGGAACCTGCTATTCAGGAATAAAGTGGACCTTTAAGCAGAGGCTGGATGGCCATCTGTCAGGGATGCTTTGATTGGGATTTCCTGCATGGCAGGGGGTTGGACTGGATGGCCCTTGTGGTCTCTTCCAACTCTATGATTCTATGAATGAGTCATTATACACCATTGAGAAAAGAAAGGGTTCTCAAATTAGCATTGCAAGCTCACCTAGCTGGGAGTTCTTCCCAAACTAGTTTTCCTTAACATAAGGGATGGGGAAAGTGCAGCATGCAAACCTCAAATGATTTCCTCCTGGCTTATGCAAAATAAAAATAAGTTTTTAAAAGAAATCTCATTGTGCCTCCAGATGCCCTCTAGAGAATCTAGGGAGGACCATTTTAGTCTGTTAGAGGCCCTTTTTCCACAGGAAGTGACCTGCAGTTAATTTCCTGGTCACTTCCTATTGGAGAGAAGATTTCTACTGGCCTTAAATTTGCTCAAAGTGGCTGGCTGAAAACACAGTGCAGGTGCCCCCCTGGAGGTGTGTGTGTGTGTGTGTGTATATATATATATGGACGGACCAGTATGGCATAATGTGTTTGAGCATTGGCCTAGGAACTGGAAGAACAGGGTTGGATTCCTGTCTCAGCCCTGGAAATCCACTTGCTGACCTTGAGCAAGCCACACTCTCTCAGTCTCTGTCTCAGAGGATGGCAATAGCAAACCCCCTCTGAAGAAACTTGCCACGAAAACCCCATGATAGGTTTGTGTTAGGACTGCCATAAATCAGAAACAACTTGAAGGCACACATCAACAACATACATACACACACGCAGTGCGCCTATCTGGTTTGAGCTTCCATGGATGGCAAGCCCTGTTTTGTTTTGCTTTAAATGGGTGTGCATGCACATGGCATCACGAGTGGACGCGCATGCCCATTGAAAAAGACGGGACTTAAGGTCTTGTCTTTTTTGCTATCACCGGGGGAGTCCGGAACAGATCCCCCCCAGGATAGCAAAGGATAACTCTCTCTCTCTCTCT